CGGGGGGGGGGGGAGGGACGGGGGAGGATCGACCACAGAAGAGTTCTGCAGCCTCCTCTTGTTTCCGTACAAATATACCCTACCCGCACAGCCCTGGCCTGATAAAACCATGTCAAGTACCGGTGCGAATATGACAAAGGGATGGTGAATTGAAGGTGAGGGTACCTACCCTTTGGTGTCAAAAGAACCAAGAGACTGGGTGGGGTATAGTTTACTCACTTAATTTCGGCCTAAACGAGAGGGTGGGGTGGAGCCCGTTCATCCCGGTGCATTTGTGACGCGGAAGCGGAAAAGTCCGCCTCAGCATTCGAGGAGGACGTAACGGCTACACAACGTCTTTTTCATCGGCACAAGACGTTGACTGTAACGGACAATACCCACCCGTATCCTGTAACGGACAATACCCGTAGAGAATGTGACCCCCCCTTTGTTCCGACATATAAGAGCATACAGACATGAGGGGTACTGTTGTACCCCTACCCTCTGTTCACCCGAGTTTATTCGACAGGGTTTGTGACTTTTAAAACTGTTTTTGTCGGAATCAGACAAAGATTATTAATTGTGTACTGGAACGAACCAACTGTTATTACCAATCTATCACACTGGTCCCTTTTCTGGTACATACTAAATATATTTAATTTCAACTTAATTTAATAAAGATTTTAATACGACGAGTGGTACAGGGTGCTTTATTCAACAACTATATATACATTCTTCAAAAACATTTTAGAGCATTTTTCTAGGAACGTTGCACCATGAGGGGCAGCCGCGCGAGGAGGGCAGGAAGGAGAGAAGGACGGCGCCGGAGAGGAGAGGGACGGACACGACGCAGGAGATGAAGTTTGAGAGGGTTGATGCTAAAACAGATGGGTTGCGAGTCCAGTGAGCATCGTACAGGAGGAAGACGAGAGGAGTTCATGAAGCGTCATTGATGGTTCAGTAGCGAGATATCGGTGATAGGGAGTGAAATGAGAGCTGAATGGGTTGCCCGTCAGGGAAGGACAGGGAAGCAGATACTTAGATATGATGAGATTGCGAGTGGAGGGAGATTTGGAGGCTAGGATAGGCAGGGGAGTGGGTGAGAAGGGTGGATGATAGCAGCACAGGTCGTGCAGCAGCGATCGATGAGAACGAACAAACCTTAAGAATCACAGCCGCTGACAAAGTTTTCTGCAACTAGATGATGTTCGAGTGTAATTAAGAGATGTTTCGATTTCAGCTTGAGTAGGGACTCATGCAAATAGGATGTGAAAGAACGAACTTGCATTGATGGGATGGCATCACTGGCATACTTTTTGCGAATGTTTTCTTCCATCATCATTTGAACATTCCTTGTTGTCTTTTCTGGATGATTATTGAAATATAGCAAATGGAGGTATCAGAGTTGAGAGGGGGTTCGAGTTTAACTGCGTAATACGACTCCTTCTCAGCCAAGATTTCTTTGTGGTAGTGTAGGTCAGATGCAACCTTTGCTACAATCGAATTCAGAGTTGCCCTCATCATCTGTATTACATGATACATGACCGGTTCTTGCGCAGATTGACGGGGCAAGTTGAAGATAATGTTCCAGGATCTCAAGGTGAAGTTGCTTTGTTGTTTGTGCTTAATTCTTGTCTGATGGCATCGTCACCAGGGTGGAAAGGGAGGAGGAAGCAGGATGAGCTGCGATCGCAAATTCTGGTGCCACCACCAGAGCAACGACAAGGTGCAGCATGCGCACACCACCAAAGGTCTGCATTCTCCTGTTGCACTTCGTTGCCCCTCATTGTCTTGATGCAGCCCTTGCGGTCCCTCCGCTCCTGGCTGCCATGGGATATGAGCCAGCCAAAGGAGGATGGCAGTTGCGGTCGGATGCCCGCAACTTCTACTAAGGCTCTTTTGCTTGCTGTGTGGCCTGCATGGTCTATCAATGGTGAGGAGCTCTCAAGGCTCTGGGAATGAGGAGCGGCAGACACAACCTCCCCTCGAGTCCACGTGTGTACAGTAGCTCCAAGTGTCTGGTGCTGCGTTTTTGTCTGAACGAGCGCGAATAAACAAAGAAAAAGCCGTTGCTGCAGCCAATCACCCTTTGTTTTTATTCCACTGTTGAATATTCCCTGTTGGCGATAATCGAGGAAGTGGTCTTGAACACATCATTTTGCCTGTCCTCAGACATGAACATGTACAACCTTTGACGAGCTGGTAGACTGATTTTCGTGCTGCAATCCAGATTTTGCAGACCTCACACTCAAGTTTGTCAACAATGTGATGCATTTCATTTCTTGTTCTTCGGATTGTGTTTCATCAAGTAGGCTGCAAGATACTCGACTGGGTCGTCCGGCCTGGCAGAAGTATTTGAGGATGCTAAGATGCAATCAACAGGGGCAGACCTTGCTCGAACAAGCTCTGAGAGCCCTTGCAGGAGGATGGGAACTACAGTTTGATCGAGATAGGTTCGGATTGGAAGAGCTTGCGCGTCAATCTTCTCTTGAGCCTCGACTGCTGCTTTCTCAGCGATCGCTGCCTGAGAGCAAGAAAGTTAGAGAGTAGAAAGAAGCGGTGTTTGAGGTGTGGCTGGGTGAAGGACAGAAGCGAGGGAAAGGGAAGAGGACCAGGAGGCAAGGAGACTGTGTAGCGACCTGATCGAGGTTTTCAGGAGCAGATCCAGCTTCAGCAGGAGCAGGAGCTGTCTCCTCTGTCTCCTGTTTCATCTCAACTTCTTCTGCGAGAAGGATGTTAGGATTGAGCTGGCAAACGATGATAGGTCATATGGACGGGCAACAGGAAAATTGAAACAGCAGCTTGCAGGAATCCAGTAAGACGTTACTGATATCCCACCACACATGGTGAGACATGACAGAAATGAGGAGAAATGAATCTAATGATATAGTTGTTGAAAAGAGGATCCAGAAACCTCCCAGCATACTTTCCAGATGTATCAAACGAGCGTCAAGCAGGTCAGGAGTGGCAGATAGTTTGTACAGACAGGAGCATTGAGAGGCAGAAAGGATTCGATAAACTTGCAATTAAATCCACATTTGGACGATGGAATCAAATGGCAAAGGACACATTTGATCAGATCACGTCGCAGGGATGCAAGAATGGTGAGAGATACTGAACAATTAGATAGGAAAAGTCAATCGATGAATTTCGGCTTTTCATGATTAGACATTGGATGCACAACAGAACACAGAGGATGATGATAATGATTATGATGATCATGATAATGATGGGAGAAAGCATGGGCAGCAAGGCCGAGCGCAAGTCCAACAACATTACCTTCAGCCATAGCGCACGACGAAATGCAGTGGGTTCAGCGAGGGGGTAGGGGTGATAAAAATTTCTAAGAGCACCGGTACTTTGGAAGGGAGTAATTGGGGTCTTTTCAAATGTACAGGGGATGTACATTCCTCTAGGGGGTCAGAAGGAGGGGTAGTCACGCTCTAGAGAGTAGGGGTCATGAAGTAAATCCCATGGGGTAGGTAAACAATCCACAGTGCCATATTTGGTAGGGTTATCCGAAAACTTGGACAGAAGTTGAGGTCCGAAGGTAGGGTACTTGAAGGAGAATAGGAGGGTATTTCCCACTAGGAATCTCCGATGGGTGGGTGGGTGGGTGGGTGGGCTTCGGTTTCGGTTTCCCGCAAGTCACCGGGCCATGGCACCGGGTCCGGTCGGCAGGGCCACTGATCCGAGTAACGATGTTGTAACGGTTTGTCGGGGATGAAAATGGTGTGCAGGCAGGTAGCAAGCGACGAGGGTCCATGGTAGAGGAGCAGAGAAGCTGTGTGCCATGACGAACGTCGAAGATGATGCGATGATCCGAGAGGTCAAGTTGTCTTGGTGCTCCTGTGAGACCCTCGCAGATTGGCCCAGAGCTCAATTGCTCGAACCATGACGGGAACAGAGCGGGTTCATGGCATGTGAGAGGATAAAAAATGGATTTGGCATGACGGCGGGAAAGGAGGCAACGAGGCACTTGAACAGTCGTCGTCATCAGTCGCAAGGCAATCAAGGAAGAGAGATTAAGGTGCCAGCAGAAAGTTTTCCAAAGGCGAGGCGTGATGGATGGGAGGAGCTTCTCTGTACACCCCTTGCTGATCTGGTTGGATTCATCCGATTGGATCAAGATGGAGAGGACTTGCTGCGTGCTCGGAGCTTGCTAGAGGGGTATGAGCAAGGGCAAGTCGAGGAGGAACCTGACGCGTTGCTCAAGGTCGGGTGGTCGTTGCAAAGGAAGATGTGGCTGCGGGCACCAGAAGAGCTACGGGGAGATCTCAGAGACGAGAGGAAGCGACAAAGGTCGAGAGGGGAGGGGGAGGAGAGGGAGGATAAAGGAGGGGGAGGGGGAGGGGGAGGGGGATGGGGGGGGAGGGGGAGGGAGGGTTCACGGTTGTTGCCGGATTGATGAGGGTTTGCTGCAGAAATCTGTGCGATCCTGGAAGAATGCTGCTGGTGTCTGGAGAGGAGACCAGGGTCAGGAGATGACTACGATCAATGTGCTGTGCTGCTTTCCAAGCTCCTCTTGCTCCTCCGAGCGGTGAAGGCAAGGAGGTATGAAGGAGCGGCCGCCCTCGCTATCTCCTCCTCACCCATGTCTGCAGGTGCTTCTTCTGCTGCGCGCATGCCGTCAAGATGAGCAGGGAAAAAAGGAGATCGATATCTGCTCTCCTGCTCCCCTTGCTTGCTCGCCCCTTCCCCCGCGTCCTAGAGCATGTGTTGCTCCAGGTGGTCGCAGAGATCCTTGTTAGCAGGATGAAGCTTGCCGCTCTTCTCGCAGCAGACTCCTCCTCCCCCCTCCTTGATGACGTCACTTCGATCCTCCGCCTGCTCGCGTCCGACTTCCTGAAGCACCTGGAGGGAGCAGGAGGAGGGGCAGGGGCAGGAGCAGGAGGAGTTTCTAGCTGGCAGATGCGGGTGCTCGAGAGTGTATTGCGGGAACTCAAGAACAGCTTGATCGTTCAGAAGCAGGAGAATGACCAAGAGGAGGAGGAGGAGGAGGAGGAGGAGGAGGAGGAGGAGGAGGAGGAGGAGCAAGAGGAGGGAGACGGAGACGGAGGCGAAGATGAGGTGCATGACGATGAAGCAAAGGATGACGACGACGACGACGACGACGACGGGGAGGAAGACGAGGAGGACGATGAGCAGATCTGTTGTGTGCAAGGGAGGGAGCGACAGAGGAGGTTCACAACATTAGCACGCAGGTTCCTCTCTCAGACCATGGGCGTCATAGCTGCCATGGCCAGCAGGAAGCTGGAGGAGGAGGACGAGGAGGAGATCCCAGCTGGAGGAGCTACTGGGGGCAGGCTCGAGCTGATCTCCTCCTTCCTCTCTGTGGGGCATCGAGCACACAAGATGCTTCTCCTCTCCCTCCCTTCACTCCTCCCCTCCGTCTGCTTCCTCCTCCGCTCCCGCTGCTTCCTCGACGACTGCGGTGACTCTGCTGCCATCTTCCTCCGGAGGAAGACTATCGCCCTGCTGCTCAAGTCAGCTGCTGTGCTCGAGGATGAGGAGGTCATCCCCGCCACAACGCCTCCTCCTCCAGTCTCCTTCCCTTCCCACTCTTCCTACTCGCACTCTTCTCCAAGTCTTCCTACTCCCCTCCCCTCCCCCTCCTGCCTCCCTCACACCT